TACATTGATTGTTTAACCTTGTACATTAGCAGCTTCTAATTTCTGCATCCCCAGTACTGTTCCCTCTGGCATGTCTGGCGACTGATTTTACAGGACGCCCCAGACCAACACTCAGCTACAAGTACAAGTGCACCGGTGACCATCATGTACATGTACATGTACATGTACATGTAAATTGGGCTGTGGAGGCTGAACCCATGGTCCATTTTTAGGAGCCCAGGGTTTTACAGGAAACCGGCAAATTCGTCTGGGATTTCACAAGAACTGCAAAGGATCATCTTCAGTCATCACCTCCATGCGATACTTCCTGGTTTGCCATCTGATCTGGCTGCAAATGAAGTGGCCACTATTTGTGGGGGGGGGACAATACAATCAAGCTTACTAAAAAAATAAGACGTCAAAGTACTGATACATGTACACACTGGTACCCGTACAGTATTACAGAGGGAAGAGACAGGGTCCAATAAATACTGGGCAGTTGACTTTCTATGAACCCGATGTGAACCCCAAAAAGAACATACTGGTAGTCTACAATGGCACATTATTTCCAATTTTCATGCAAATGAAGTTCTTGTTATTTCAGGTGAAAAATATGCAAAATGTGAGGGTTCACCTCAAGCCAAGTCTACATGTGTTTTAGACAGGACATGTACGTATGTACAGGGGCGGGCATTCACTGCATCCAGGGGACAAGTTCTTTTGTTAGGGATATTTGGACCTAGTTGTGGGGACATTTCCGAGTCCCCACAACATTTTCGAGTCCCCACAAAATAGGTGAAATGTCGAGTGTATATCCCCACAACTACACGTACAGAGCAGGTGGTGGCATACCAGCAGTTTGGTGTACATGTGTTTAAGTGCATGTACATGTACATGAACATACCGGTCCGTGTACCTGCTACATGTACACATGTACATGTTTTCACAAAAACTTGTGAAATCGCAGGGTACATGTAGCTTCCCCATTATTCTTAGGGCAATCAAAATTGATACCGACGAGGAAACCCTACAGGTGCCTTTCTCCTTCAAGTTCAACTGCGGATCATGACAGCATTTGCTACACCCGCACCGACATTCACAGAAAGGTTCATTGGTTGGAATGTCTGGTTGTCCACCTGGTGCCACTTTCCCAATCTGGACACCACCCTTTGATTCATTGCGCTGGGTAAAGTTTACCTTCCCAGGTAAACATGTACGGGTATGGATGCCTCAAATCTAGAGGAACTATAGCTGCTCAGGTTCCCTTGCTGCACAAGTACGTACACTCCCGCACTACAGTAGTGAGGACAAACACTTGACATTTCATCTATTTTGTGGGGACCGAAAATGTTGTGGGGACTCAGAAATGTCCCCACAATTCCGTTTAAATTTCCAAAACAAAAGAACTTGTCCCTTGGACGCGGTGAATGCCCATCTGTACAATTACATGTACATACATGTATACCATGACTTGTGCATGTACACGTCAACGCTTAACATGTGTGGTACCGTGATCATGGTGATATTGCCCACTTTTTTAGATATGTTCAGGGCTGACCTTCAATTGCCCTTGCACAAGGCTCAGCATGCCAGATGCCGCACGCTGCGCCCATGCCACACTGAAGTGAGTTGTTGACGACACGTCAACTCTTCTCCCAGCAAAACTCATTAGCAACGCAGCATCTGCCGGCGTAACTCGAGGATGACAGGCCCGCGAGTCCACGTTACTCCGGGTCGCCGTGATCGGGTGCCTCTGAAGTCCATGAACGCGGTGTGCACTTTGTCTCTGTCAACGACCTTTTTGGGTCTGGGCGGATCCAACAACCCCCCCCCTCCCTCCCATGATCTTGGAATGCGCTAAGCAGATTTCATGGTGTGCGGGGAGTGAACAGTGAATCGCTCTTGAATGAATAGGAACCGTGCCTCATTGCTTTCTGCACTGAGGTAGAAAACAAATCTCCTCTCTTGTAATTGAAGATGCCATACCAAGGTCTGGACGACATATCACATCAAAGTCTCTTCAAAGCATGAATGATGTAATGTCTGGAAATGCTTCCAATATTGTTTACACAAGGAGTAATAACTGGAAGACAGGTTGGAAGGATAAAATGACGAAACCATCTGGGAAGGGCCAACTTGGATTGATCAAAACAGGCATGCAACTTTGACAAAACAAAAAACCAGGAAACTCCAATATTTACAACATTTTGTACAGTGTGTTTCAATTCCTAATGGGACCAGTGCGAAGTGAAAAACGAGGAAATCAGCTGATCTGAGGAAAAGTTGCAGGCCTGTCAAAAGCAATGTGTTCTAGTTATTACATGTAGATGCACCTGACTGGTCAAGTCATGGATGTACCTTTGTGTCTCTTCTCAATGGCCGAGAGCTTGGCTGATTGGTTGAAAGTTGAAGGAAATGTCTTATCTTGCATCACCAGTGCCCATTTGCAACTGATACCGTTAAAGTTTGAAGATGGCGCAACACGTGCACATGTACATCTTTCTCTTTCACAAAGCTACTTTATCAAGGTTTATTCAGTGAAAGCATACCACAGGTACCAGTAAATCCATGTACTCAACAGATCCAAAGTCCTAAGGCAGTATTTCTCATCAGCTCTTGAAGAACAATTTGGCCTAACTGCAATTGAAAACAAGTTAAAAATATCTTTTTTTTAATCCAGACCCCAAATACTCCATTTTAACAGCTGCGATACTCCGTGATTACCTTTTTTTTTTTGAATTGTTGTTTTCTTTGTCCTGGAAGGTAAAATGATACTGTTTATGGCTCCCCCCAGCAGTTGGGGAATTCTGTTTTCTCAAGTTTCAAATTGCCCTGGGTTAGTCCTGTTCTGTTTGTATTTTTAAAGTTTTGGAATGTCTACTGGAAGAGGTGTTTGATTTCACTGTACACTGTAGGCGAAGAGCTACATGCCTACATGTACATGTCCTGTAATGAATATCACTGATGGCATTTTGGTTCTGTGACTGTACATGTGGTTAGTGAATGGACTGCACTCCCTTTGAACAGAAAAGATAGTTTTTCTAAATAGTACCCTCTTGGACTAAATAAATGGACCCACAGTGTGTACACATATCCAGTAAATTTAAAGGGTAGCTGTCACCAATTTGTTTTTATACAAACCTTCAAATTGCACCTTTGTGTCTCTGTTAACCTACGTGACTAGACCTATTTCTTTCACTATTTCAAGTGGTAATTTTCAGCCTCGTCTGTTTGTACACGTCTGGTGCATGTACATGTACTGGTATGCTAATAAATATACATGTACAGTACATGTACATGTAGGTATTTCCATGCTCGTCACTCATGCGCAAAACTGTGATGTCATCCCAGGGGAAAAAACCTCAATGTACCCGCTAACATTGGTTTGTACCCAAAAACTTGCTGCAATTTTGTAGATTAGTACTGGACTAAATTTTCTCTTCTTTGCTGCTTCATTACTGTTCATGCAAATAGCAATAAGCTTCAATCCCTCTCTCAGAAATCTTTTCAATACACCTGTAAGTAGGCCTAAATTATTCTGGGATCATAATTTGAACAGAAAAGCCTATGCACTGAGCTTGGTCCTCCCTACATACAGATGACATCACAAAAACAGTGCCCTCAGTTGTCCTGGAAACCATGGATAACTTTTAAAAGTGCACTTGTCAATGCATATAACCAAATACCGGTGCTTTCGCAAGTATGCACTTTGAAGATTACAAAGTTGCACGAAAGTTGTGTCTACGAAAAATTCATTGCAGGTACACTCTAAATGAACGTGTAAATCCACCCATTCAAGGTTGGCTCCTTACTGGAGCTGGAGGTTTGTTCCCATTCCAACTGACAAAAGATCCTACAAAATGCGTCTCAAGAACAAACATATTCTGAAGAACACACTCCATTTTGATCAATGACTTCCTGATTATTGTCGGCATCACACTCGGGTGAAAACATTGAGATTCTACACATTTCCATGGTGCAAGCTTGTTTGAAAGGGTCTTGTACCGGTGTGGTGGTCTCAGAAGTCTTCCGGTCTTAGCGGTCCCCCTTACCAAATACGGTAAAAATACGTCATGCCATCTCTGCGCACAACAATGGGAGAGTCGTCCGTTTAAGTGGCATGCTGAGCAGTGCAATGCATGCATGTTTCATGTTGTACGTGACGGGTACTGCACATAGGCCTACACCAAAGATAATAGCACCGCTTATAGTACCGTGCGAGTTAGTCATGCGGACATCTCAGCACGGGACACCAACGAGACTGTGCTTGTGTCGTGCTGAAATGTCCGGCTACGTCGGGGGGGGACCCCAGAGACCGGGAGACAGCTGAGACCGCCACACCGGTATGCTACTCTAAACAGACCCCACCAACTTAATGTCAGATCACACTTGGTGCAACAACAAACACAAATGTGAAAGTGACGTCAGATATAACAAATCAACGTGCATCGAATCCGTGTGACATTTTTGTGTCCCTGTTCCATCTGACCTTTGCTATTTGACATGGAAATATCACCAGAATTGATTTCAAACTATTACTATTTGTTTGGCAGGTAATCTGCATCAACTCAACACTCTTGGAAATTAGAAAATGTGTTCTGAACTTACATAATCGTATGTCAGATGTGACAGGGACAAGAAAAAAAACGGACCCCTAATTTTTTGAAATACCCTTCCGCGAAAGTCAAACACATTTTAACTGAAGGGAAATCTGCAGTAAATATTTAGTGACGTGAAAGTTGCTTTACGTTCGCAATCATGAGAAATACTGTACTGTACTAAGAACAGGCCTTTAAGACAGGTGAAGGATTGAGGAGGGTTAGGGTCAACCCTAACCCTCCTCAATCCTTCACCTGTTGGAGGACTGAGGAGTGTTAGGGTTGAGACTCGTAATGGTCACGCACACTGTCAGCCAAATGGGGTGGGGGAATGACTGACTCTCTGCACACGAACCAATTCCACAGGCTACGTCCACAGACATGCTCAAATATGCTTGCAAGGGTCATTATGAAGACACTTACCAAAGAACGTGAAGATGATGCCGAAGACAAAGCACATGCCGCACACCACGGCAATGGGCACCTCGTACTCATAGCGGATCCCGTCGCAGGGCAGCATGGGCACCTCGGTGGTGGGCGTCAGGGTCAAGGGCGGGGCCAACGTGGTGTCATTGTTCAATGCCGTCTGCAGCAGCAAGCTGAGGGAGGAGGGTGACAGGTAGGGGCTCTGGGCCATGCTTGGTTTGCTGAGGTCCACCGACGAGTTGTGAAATGTGTGTGTATGGGCACGTTTATCCAGATGGTGAGGAATCGCTGAGGGTCTGCCGGTGGGCGGTAGCCCCTACGTCATGGTGTCGATCGTTAATGTCTGCGACGCAACACCAGAAAAGGAAATCTTGTGAGTCAGGACATTCTCAGACTTAGTCACTTTTCAAATCTTCCAGGTAAGGGTCCAAACCACAGACATAGAACATTTGTAACTACATGTACATGTACCGGTAAGTTAGGTCAGTTAGGTCAGGGACCGTACGTGTATAGGTATACATGTACATGTACCGGTCAGTTAGGTCAGTTAGGTCAGGGACCGTACGTGTATAGGTATACATGTACATGTATCGTGCAGCTTTGGGGATTTCATGGGCTTAACAAGGACAACTTGTCCCTCACTGCAGTCAGACAAGACCACACTCTCAGGTGCATTGCACGTCTGCATGAGATGCAGTGCCCATCTGTGCACATGAACATCAGTTGACCCAATCATGTCCATTGGATAAGAAGCTCACTGACCAGGGATGATGCACTGGGCACAAGCTATGGTACCATGTACATGTATGTACATGTACATGTATGTGTATTTACCTGCTACAGGCAAACATGTACGTACTGCACTGTACATGTATCAGTATGTCTGTATGTACACAGAAGACAGCTTACTACACTGTACTCCTGCAAAAGTCCTCAATCCTCCAATATGAATCTGACTTTCCATCAATCCTACAGGGTTAGAATTTACCTGCAGACACCCCCCCCTACATTTACGGTACTGGGCACCTTCCGAAATGGCAAATTACATGTACTAGTGCAATGTGCATGCATGTACATGTGTGATACTCTCCCCAATATTGTCAAATTGTCCCAAACCACCAGATGGATTTTTGAAGGGCTCATAGGTTCATGGATCGACACCGGTTCATGCATCTGATGTATTGTACATGTACATGTACATGTCTGTTTATACTGGTATGCACCAGCGCATTCCCATGTACACACACGTTATGCTACTAGAAGAAAGAATGTGGTAATTACATATCTCTGTGGCAATTCTGATGGCAGGTGTGGCATACCAGGTGGGCACAGGACATGAACTGTTATAGGATGTTGTTGAGTGCGTCCAATTTGTTGTCAAAACAACAGGCATTACACTAATGGTTGGTCAAGCAAATGGGCTTGCAGAACTGCCCGATCAATATCAGTAGGGCTGGCATATAAGGTTATTGAACAAACAGACTGTTTACATTGATGTAATGCACTGATTCCACTTCAGTAGGACAAGACAGCTCAGCCTATTTAAATTTCTAGCAGACGTTCAACACGCTCCAAGCATACACGTAAATACATGCGCGGCAACGAAACTGTCATTTCATGGCATTTACCAGTGCACAGTGACATTTAAAATACAGTTGACGCTGACTACATGTTACATTACAAGTCCTGTAGTGTATGTGTACACCTACCGCATACTTGTACCGTACATGTACATGGAAATGCCAAGCTCAAAATGCCACTCAACAAAATGTCAACAGCTGTGGAGATCTACTCCCAGTCGTCTGTTATGCTTACAGATCAAAAAAGAAAATAAACAAGTTTTCCAGTGAGACAAGTACCATGTACTATGATCCAACACAAATGCAGGCAACATGTTAGCAGTTCTACGGCAAAAGGCGACTCTTTCGTAAAAACCCAACTACAAGCTAGGTTGCATCACTGTTCTCTACATGTACCCGGTAATGACAAGCATTGCCCAAACTTAATCCAAAGTCAGACCGTCACACCCATCAAACACTAGGTATATCACAACGCTACCTGTATGAACCGGCACACGCTGTAGCTCTAGTTGGAAGTTTGACATCTGGTGCGAGCAGGGCCAGGCTGCAGAATGCGCAACTCCTAGGGGGAGGGGGGGTTCGACTGAGAAAATTATGTCATGTGTACTTGAATCCGCTTCCTCGTCTGTCAGCGCGGGGACTGGTCTGGATCTGATTAGCTCTTTCCCTTCCCTACTATCTCCCCCTCCCCCCCACCGTCACCAGATATCATCTGGGTCTCCTGGCTGGATGCTGCCCCCATGATCAGGTGGTGGGGCTCACTCTCAGGGGAGCTGGTTTCCCCTCGCTTCTCCTGGGAGATCAAAGCGCGAGATACAGGCACGGGTATGCAGACCAGTAAGCGGGCCGGACCAGTGCATGCTCAAATGGCACCTATGAACTACATGTAGGAGTTTACCACCCACATGTACAAGCCAGGCCAAGTCAATACAAATAATTCACTATTCGAATATTTGACCTTCAATTCGACTGACTATCTGAATATTCGGTTGTACCAACCGGCAGAATGTTGAACAAACCATATACAAAATCAGTTGCAGTAATATACGCAATTGTAGTACATTAAAATCACAAATGTAGCTTCTCACTTCCAGCCACGATTTAGCAAGATTTAACAGACAAACAACACTCCTTGCCCTGTTAAAACTTCTACTCCTTTTAAATTTAATAATGAATAATTTACTTTTTGAATCGTAAGACGCAGCACTTGTATCATTCTGTCACTTTTCATTGGAATCTGCTTGAAACAAGCCTCCGGAGTGTAATTTTTCTTATTTTACATGTAAACAGAAGAAAGGTCTCCCTTCCTTTCCCAGGAATTTTACATTTGAATATTCAAATTCAGAATATAATATTCAAATATTTGATAACCAATTGAATATTTGGATATTCGGATAGGCCTTTTTGGATATTCAGAACAGCCATACAAGTTTGTACACTGTAAATTATACATGTACACCGCATGCATAGTACCAGCACATGCACATGTATTGGACAGCATGTGTATGCTGGCTGCAGACAATGCATGGCTCTAATGCACATACCGTGCCGGTACCATTCACTGTGCAGTGAACTTTCTTGTCCCCGACACACACTGTACATTTATGAATGGCACTGTACATGTGCACATCTCTGTCTGAGCTCCTGTGGCACATGAACACTAGTCCGAGTTAAACCAGTTGAATTGACAGCAAAAAAAAAACCAAAAACAAATTTGAAAAACCACATGTACTATGTACATGTACCTGTAAGATAGGTATAGCGGTGCCTTTGGTGGTCGACCAGCATGCCCCCCTCATATCCCCCCTTCACATTCCCCCTCCCCCTTTCTAAAACAGGTCCTAGGCAATCAATTGAACCATGAGCACCCAATGTGTATGCAAATGAAACTACATGTGTATACATGTACCGGTACTGTTTGCCAAATTACTCAAATACAAACATGCTGTAGTTGACTTCACACCAGTGCATGCATGTAGAGCAGCTCTCCATTCCAGACACTGGTCGGCCCAGAGGGAGTGCTGGATCACAAAACTCCCTCTTCTGTTCATGCACAAAGCCTACACAGGTCCACACACATACATTTTTTCCCCAGAGCAAGGAGCCTTCAGTGTTGTACAGTGTAATGTTTACACACAGGTACCAGGCTTTATAAAATACACTCAAGAGCTTTTAGGAAGTGTTTGGCAACAAAGTACAATGGTGCCTTTCAAGTACAACCCCAACTTAAGGGGGTGACAAGTTCGACAAGTTGTCACTTTTTTTCATCCTGAACTGCATCCCAACACTTTGGTTTGGCTACGCGTACATGCATGAACAAAGTCTGACCATGAAGCTATTAAACACTCCATGGTGGAACAGAACAAATGAGCCTTTAAAGTGACAAATGCCTTGAGTAAGCACACTTCTCACCCCCGCTGGCTGGCGCCTGGGGATGATTACATACTGTACACTCCAACAAGAACTTGTGTACCGAGGGGTTCATGTATTTGAATGTTGATACATGTGATGCATTCTCCACAGAGAAAGTGCAATGCATTTAACTGGACAGAAACATGTCGGTGTTCTACTGAAAGAACATATAGTTGATGCAAAATCAGACATTAAATTGTCCCGCACTGTCCAACGGACGGTGGCATACACCGTGCTAGCACCAGGTATTAGACTGGATATTTGACCCACAATTCCATCGCCAATACCAGGGTGAGGTAAAATATATCATCTGGGAATACCCAGGAGTAAAGCAAGTTCCACAATTCATTGCCTGTAACTCCAACGCTTCCTGCTGACAAACTTTTCCCTGTAGATCACTACTTGGACCGTACGAGTGTGAAAATACATGTAAGCCGTGGGGGAGAGGAACTGTCTAACATCAAACTTATTGCACCTGCAAGCTGCATGCACTGCAGCCTAGTTTTGGAACGGTGGGTCGAGGCAAATCCTGGCGGACGGTTGAGCCTGAGGAACACGAGCATGAACTACATGAACAGGGTAATACACATGTGGGACGTGAAAAGACAGCATTTGGTAACATGGTAAAATCTACTGCCCTCGCCTTTCATGAACTAAGGTGGGGTGTATGGGACATGTACATGTACATTCACTAAACCTGAAGACAGCAACCAGAAGATTAACTACATGTATGAAAATGTGCTCACCTGTTGAGTAATTGTTAGTCATACACAGTCCACTTAACTCCACGAAATTTCAACAGTCCAGAAACTCTAGCATCAGCAATCCCTTGGAATTCCGCTAAACTGTGCAGCTCCACAGCCAAGCAACCCAATACACACTACCCCCGACTCATAAAACAGAATGTCACCCAACCATTCCAGGATCAGCTCAGGAGATCTGCCTTTCTGCAGGGGGTACAGATGTGGTGTATCAAGTGATATTAATCTCTGGTCTTGTTTGTTCTGTGTAAGGCAGAACTAGTCGCACCCCAGATCAGAATGAAGGGGGGGAAAAAAGTTGTCAGGAAATGCTAACCATTCTAGCCGAGACCCTGGTCCAGCAGGGCAGTGTGATGAGTCATACTTTGTGGTGGACTGGGGACTGGGAAAAACCTCAAGTACAGGTACAAAACTGAGGGGAAATGCCTGGCTAGCTGGAAAACATGTCTCTGCAGTGAACAAAGGCTTACAGGTGGATTTTGTAGTGACTTGTTATCTTCACTTTGTTGGGCTGCTGGACTCCAGGGAGGTCCATTTATACCTGCTGACAAGTTGTTTGCATCTGTGGTTTTCTTGCCCCATAAAACTGATTTGCATACATAAAGATTAAAAGCCATAGTGTAAAATGGGTCGACCAGACTAGGCTACTTTTGGGATAAACCACACTTTGGATTTTGCGGCCTATTTTTGGCAAAAACTTGCCAACACTTCCACTTTACCATGCCGGATTGTCTTCACTTCAAGCTCCAGGGTCCAATTTCACAGAACTGCTGAACAGTTAGTGGAAAAGTTGTGCTTACTGTAGCACAAAATTTGGCTCACCGTAAGCACTATTTCACAGTGGTGCTCAGTTGAAACTCTCAGAATGTGCGATTTGTAAAAGGCACACACAGGCGACATTACCCAAGCTCATCTGGCCTACAAGGGAATGTACATGAGTACATGTTATCTTGAGAAAATCTTAGATTTTGGTGCCAAGCACAGCACTGTTATGTTACACTGTTACATGTTATCTTGAGAAAATCTTAGATTTTGGTGCCAAGCACAGCACTGTTATGTTACACTGTTACATGTTATCTTGAGACAATCTTAGATTTTGGTGCCAAGCACAGCACTGTGATTCCTCGCCGCTGCCCCTCACAGGTACAACAAATGTAAACTGCCACTTGAATTTCCTGGCCGGAGAAACATGATAAGTGCCCTCATCTTCAAGACCCAACTGGGACGCAAACTCACAATTTGCATTTCCAAACAAATCCCAATTCGTCGCACCGGACCGTTTGGCTATAGCACCCCTCTGTACGTGCAAATTCCTAACTTGAAGTGACAAGCGCTTGAATCAGAGCTGACATTGACTGACAAATTTCTGAAATATAACAGTCGCGGTTCTCAGACTTGACAGGGAGCTGGTCTAAATCCGGACGTCGGTTCAACCACACTTGTTAAATCAAATTTCTGTCAGAGGAAAGAAAATGCAATTACTTGACGTGTTTCTTGAGAAATTGCACGGCTGACCGGTCGGTCGGTGAAGTCTGGGTGGAACCTACGCCAGTGAGCGTCCAAGTTAATTCATCTTTCCCCTTGAGGATAAACATGGTCATTGCATCGGGCCAATCTAAATTGGGCAGAAATTTCCCTGGGGACCTCTCCACACGCCACCGAAACTTTCACTGAGGAAAATTTCCTTCCTACATGTAAATAAATTCCGAGCTAGGTGGGGTACAGCCAAAGGCCTGGTCTGAATACAGATACATGTATGGAACAAACCAGTAGTTGTGAACATGCGTGTACCATTACATCAAATTGGACAAATCTACATGAACATGTACATTGTACATGTAGTACTAATAAATTAACATGTAAGCGAAATAAATGTACTTATGTGCATAACAAACCTCAATGCGGAATTCTATACTTTTACAACTGCACGTACCGGTATGCACCGATGTATGCGTTTGTTGTATTTTAAGTTATTTTTTTCTGCTCTTTTTTTGTTTGACATATTTCCGTACTGCTAATATACTGGTGCATTATGCTTTCAGAAAGACGACATTAAGGTTGGGCACAATAAATGCTGAATATCTGAGCAATTTTTGAGAACCGGGTCTACATTTGATGATTAAAAAGCCTCTTTCCCCACGAAAAGTTTTCATGTCCCTTTCTTGATGGCACTGCGCATGTACGTACATGTACCTAACAGTAGGCCTACATGTACAGTGTACGTGCAAATGAAGACAAAATCTGCTCTGTGATTTGATTACAAATGCATTCACTTCTGCCGAGTTTCACTGTATGACTGCATCCAATAACTCTGTACTTGCTGGCATATTTATGATGCTTATGACCACCGAGTATGCACTATTTGTCCGCTGTGAACCCTCATCGACCCCTTCAAACAGACCAAGCCCCCTACCGCCTCTAAATCAGCACATAATTACGGGCCGGCACTATTTTTAGGCCTGGATTCCTAGATTTCTTGCACCCTGCAGTAGTTGAAAGTGTGTCACGGCTTCTGGTACATGGTACGCGACCGTGATCAGAGATAGGATATTTGTGTACTTTTTATCAACAAGGATGTTAGCATCTGCCCGGTAGCAGCAAATTTAATTGGCAGAGATTGAAAGCGATTACAAATTAATTGGCAGAAGAAACATGTAAAGTTGTCGGGTGACTATACTTACATGCGCATGTATTACACTGTACACGTGCTGATGACAGTGTGCAGGCTTAATACAGGCACTTGCAATTCTTTAATTTAGTCGCAAATGAATCAGCCAACAGTGTACATGTATCTTAAACGTGTTTATCACCATTTTATTTTTAGATGAACGGTTTCACTAAGAGAGCTTACCAATATTACATTAATGCTCGGGCTGTGCCAAATCTGAATGTTCAATTGATTATTGAACATTTGCATCTCCAAATTTGAATATTCGAATGTAAAATTCATGAAAGAGAGAATTTTCTTTCGTTTTAAATGAGAAAAGTTCCATTATGTAGGCTTGTTTCAAGCATATTCCAATGAAAAGTGACAGAAATCTTACGGTTCAAGAAAAAACTTAAAAGGCATACAAATTTTCAACAGGGCAAAAAGTCTTGTTCATCTCTTAAATCTTGCTAAATCCTGGCTGGAGATACTCCTAGATGCGCGAAGCTACTGATCTACTATGTATACTACATACTGATTATAATGTACAATTGTGTAAGTTATTGCAAAAGATTTTATGGTTTATTCATCAACAATCTGCCAGGCGGGCGCTTCCAAATATTCGATCAAATTGAAGGTAAATATTTGAATAGTGAATTATTCAAAATGTATATTGACTCAGCCCTAATCAATGCAGCTTGAAACTTTGGTAATGCTGCCTAAACCTGTGCTGAACTTATTCTTTGATAACAAAAGTCACTGCCATGGGGCAGAATGAGTACCAGTGGGGAAGTGTGTCATGCTGTGATGGTGGGGCCAATACATTTTCAGTTTGGGGGCAGAAACCAGCTATGGTATATGTAGAACAGCTTGTTTGAATTCTTTGAATAGTTGGGAGCAAAGCAGTGTATTCTGTGAGCCTTGCTTGGCTCAATAATGTTACAACGTACATGTATGTATCGGTACACCATCCAAAATACTTTAACTTTACAAATTGTTTGAAGTACATGGACACTACACACGTTAACAATGCCCATTATTTTAAAATACTGGTACTCTGCCGATACAGAGGAGGCCCTACACACTGGGGTTTCAAGCAAATGAAGACAAAGGCCTCTACCTGTAACTTCACTGCACACTTTCCTGTTCCTCATCAAAGTCTGCCACGAGAAAGTGCCAGAAAACAGAGAGGAAAGAATGATTGACCGGTCCAATGACCACCACAGCGTGGCTGACAGGCCTTCCTATTTTCTTGCTCCCTTGTTTGTGACAACCCTTCCCCCAACACCCTGACAAGTGACATCTCAGTCCCCCCCCCCAATTTTCAACAAACATCCCCTGCCAGCCCCTTGCCTCATTAGCTCCTATCCCAATAACAAAACCAGTGACCTCAGAGGTATCAAAACTTGTTCTGCATGCCAGGCCAAGGTACCTCTAATAAAAAAATATATTCCTGTCTGGACCCATGGGGACCCGTCTGGAATTTTCTGCAAATTCTTTGCCAATGAGGTGATTGTCTTGGACTTATATGGATTTTATTGATGAGGTTTTTCCTTACAGCGTACCTGTTTCCATTTGCTGTTCAAATTTGTCAACATCCATTAACATTGTTAACAGAGTGAACCGCATATCAAACAACCAATTTATTTCTTTTCATATAGGCCCCTACTACATAAAATACCAAGTTGAATCTTGAAAAAAAATTTGATTGCCTGCCAAATGTGACAAGAAAAAGCATTTATAAACAGTTGAAAGCTTTCAACTGTTTCCCTTGTTCCTAAAAAATACATCACCACTTTAACAAATACAGACAGGTACATGTACACACTGTAAAAATGTACATGTATGTAATTGCATTTCTGTAACATACTGGTATACATGTGTACTGCACAGTACATGTACACAGTAAAAACACTATGTACTTGAATTCCATGCATTTCCCAAGGTCTCATGAGCCACAATTCCAACCATTCCAAGATGATGATGATCGACACTTTGTAGCAATAACTGTGCATGCAGGGAATTATCCATCACTTCCAGAAACCTGACCCTGAAATTTAGCCTATGGTTTTTGGACATTCTTGCGAGTAACTTTTCAAATCTGAACTGTCGATAATGCAGATTAAAAAGAAAAATATTAAAAAGATTAAAAAAAATTTGGTGTACACGTCACTTACACACATCTACTGTACACACCCACTGTATGTTTGTGAAGTTCCCAAACTGATTTAAGTACATGTATTGCGATGTTCTCATACAATGTACCTGTATATACTATGTACATGTACAATGTAGTATACATGTACATGTATACACATGGCACAAAAAACTGTACGTGGTACGGTGTACATTAAACTTCACAATGTCACATGTGCTACCATAATCCACTCCTAAGTCCTCTCCACTGTGCAGACGCTACATGTATATGTATGGCCAGTTTTAATTCAAAAGTATGCACCTGTTTGCACAAAATGGTGACAAAACATCTGCTGGAGACAATGGTGACAAAAAAACCTACATGTATGAATGCTCCAAGCAAAATAAAAAAATACGCATCAATCGGAGAACACATGACATGCATTGGAGGAATTTTAATCCTTTGGGTTTATAACTGGGTTCCATTCCGTTTCCTCCTCCGAAGTGGCACATCCCAATGATAACAATTTGTCTTTTATGATAACCTCGTACACAGTGTGAATCTCCAGCAGCGAAACTTTCACATCAATAGACTCAAGACTTTCAA